GTCTCCTCCCTTCTTCCACAAAGGGTAGCATGTTGTAGATTGAGCGAGGCTTCTGAAGTGCCCAAATCTCACCAAAGTTCCAAATCTTTCCAAGTTACTGATGAGGAAACTGAAACTCCTCTCCTACACTGTTGCAAACCTTGGTGCTATGTTGATAAATGGTCTTTTTTTGGTGCTTTATGGGGTGGATGAAGCTGGTTAAAGTGCCCCAAATCACAAAACATGGAGGGAGTGGCACACACCTTATAATCTGTGCGGTCACTGCCACTCAAACCCAAAGTTATGGTTTTGGGAAGACCGCTTCTTCTTCGTCTAGCTTTTAGATCTGGGTGGTGCCTAAAATTTAGACTGGAATTTGTAATATTCTTAGCATATCACATACAGCTTAATTAAATCAGGGAGTAGGACCTGCCCGGGAAGGGGTTTTTGGCATTTTTTTTAAGTTAAGGTAACATTCACATAGCATAAAATTAACCATTTTAATGTGTACAGTTCAGTGGTATTTTGTATGTTCATGATGTTGTTTAACCGTCACCTCTATCTAGTTCCAAAACATTTTCATCACCCTCAAAGGAGTTACTACAACCAATAAGCAATGACTCCTTCCCTGCTTCCCTCAGCACCTGACAACTGCTGGTCTGCTTTCTGTTACTTTGGATTCATCTATATTGGATATTTCATATAAATGCAATTATATATCATGTGATCTTTTGTGTCTAACTTCTTTCACTTTGGATGTTTTGAGGTCCATCCATGTTAGAGCATGTATCAATGCTTCATTCCTTTTTATGGTTGAGTAATATTCCATGCTATAGACACACCATTTTTTAAAAATTCGTTCACCAGCTGATAGACATCTGGGAGGGTTTTGATTGAAGGTGAGAACAAGAGTGACTTGTACTGTGCCCTGTGCTACTTATGAGTCATGTGACCATGGATAAGCTACTAAACTGGCTTGTGCCTCACTTTCCTCATTTGTCAAATGAAGATAATACCTAACTTTCAAGTGGTTGGAGGATTGAATAATATATGAGATATTGATACTGTAGTGCTTGGCAAATAGTAGGCCATCACAAACATGCGCTATTTTACCATAGAATCGTATGCGGGGAGGAGGGTTGGGGAAGAGAGTACACAAATTTGTGTTATAGTGGTTGTTCTAGTGTTTGTTTGTTCCGTTACAGCTGCTCAAGCCTTTGTACTTTTTTTTTAAAGTCCTGTCTGTTTTCTCTGCTTGTGGTTTGGCTTTTCCCCCACCCCCAATCACTGAACATGGATTTTACATTTAGAAGTAATTCACTAGATGAAATGTCTGTAGTGGAATGTTACATAATTCACATTTAGGTTTGAAGAGCTCATTATAAAAAACCTGACACACTTCAGGAATATTAAATTACTGCAGATTGTGTGGGGCAAGGAAACATTATTGAAGCATTTCAAAATTCTAGGCGAGCCTGAACTTAACTGATAGGGTTTCACAGCTTTTGCTGGGGAAAAATGATTTGAGTTGTCACATGGTTTCTGGCCCTAGAGGACTTTAATCTCCTTAATTACAAAGAAACGAATTTCACAGAACTTCACAGCATTTGCTCAACCTCTGGCTTTTGGAAAATTAAAAGGGGATGCCAGGGTCCTGGCCATGGTACATTCTCTGTACTGCGGCTTCCTTATTTAAGTTTTTATTCAAAATGATGCTGGCTTCCTTTCATTATGATACAGAGATGTACTTCAGAAAATTGCAAGTAATGCTTATAACACTTGAACACAGTCACATTTTGTCAAACAAGTGACTCTGGAGATACCCACAGAAGAGGGACAGGTGCTGTATTGTGGTTTATAAAGTTGAAGGGGAGGGCCCTGGCTGGTGTGGCTCAGTGCATTGAGCGCTGGCCTGTGAACCAAAGTGTTGCTGGTTCGATTCCCAGTCAGGGCACATGCCTGGGTTGCAGTCCAGGTCCCCAGTTGGGGGCACACAGGATGCAACCACACATTGATGTTTCTGTCCCTCTTTCTCTGTCTCCTTTGCCCTCTCACTACAAATAAATAAAAAAAAAATATTTTTTAAAAAAGTTGAAGGGGAGGAAGGGGCCCAAAGCCAATCTAGTTTATATACTGACTTTTAAGGCTCTGGTCAAGTTTGGCTGATGAATGGGTGTCCCCCCTGTTGGAAATGTCTCTACGGGGCCGCTCAGGAAATAATGCCTTTGCTGTATTTTCTGAGTGGCATCTAGTACTTCAAAATAAGAAACATGGAAAACAGAGATGGGTTATGCCTATCTTGAAATTGTGTAAAATCCACATATTTCAGCTCATTTTGTATTTTTGGATTAGGTACCTACTGTGTGCAAGACCAGCATGATGGGAATAGCTTAGATTCTATTATTTCCTGCAGTTTGTCCTTAGAAAGCAGATTTAACCTGCCTTAGTCTCCTCTTCTGTGAAAGAAAGATGATGATAATATGGACTGTGGGCATATGCCAACCATGTGATCTTGAGCAATTAACATTGGAAACTATGAGTGCCTAATATTTACCGAGTCTTGCCAGGTAATGTGCCAGGCACTCTTTCAAGCATGTTATATATGTGATCACACTTAAGTTTTCATAGCAGCTTTATAAAGTTGATATTGTTATCCCCATTGTAAGGAAAGATAAACTGAGACAAAGAACTTCCTCATCATCACATTGCTCGTATGTGGCTCAAACTATAAGCTGGGCAAACATAAAATAATAAAATAAATAGGGAGAGATCCCATTTAACAGAGGGATGAAAACATCTTTCTGCCGGAGATATGTCTTTGAACTGAAGACTGAGGGGGGTCAATAGAATGTCAACGTAGACTTGAAACATTCTATGGAAAGGTAACATAGGAGAAAATTGGGAAGATGGGAAAGTATATCACTTCCCTACTAGACTTATGATTCCTTTTATTAGTTTGGTTGTTAATTTTAAGCCTCCTTGAACATAGTGGTCCTTCTGCTTGAAACAACCATGCATTCCTTTATTATACATGCATTTATTGGGATCCATTGGTCCTTTTCCTTCATCCACTGGGCAGAAACATCCGTCTTCAGGATCTCACAGGGTAGGTCTTCTCCCCTGTGAAGCTTTACTGACTCTTCCAAGCAAAGGTGAATAGCTGGTCCTTGGTGCCTCAGGATACTAAGTATTTGTCTGGTTTTGTTCTGGTCCTGTGTATCACAGTCCTTTACAGGACTGTCACCTCTGTTGGACTGAGCTTTGAGGACAGGGATCAGGCTTTGATGCTGCATTCGTGGCCGGCATGGTTGAACAATAAATGTTTGTTGACATGAAGAAGCCAGGGTTTGCACCTGGCCTCAGTAGATATTCGTTATAACAAAATAATAGGTGTTGTTAATACAGTTAATTAGGTCCATATGTGACTGTTGTCACTCATGGAATGTTGTCTTTTGGGGGAGGGAAGAGGTTAGGCTAGTGGTACGGTACAGATAGATGGCACAACAGTGGCAAGAAAAGTCCTCATGTCCTATGAATAATTTTATGGACCCTGTCCTAGGAAGATAATTTTTTCATTTTCCTTAAATGTAACCTTGGATCCTCTAGTCCAGGCAACTTTCATTCAGGGTTAGTGTCTTTAAAAAAAAAAAAAATAGCTTGTTAAAAATAAACAAACCAGATATCTTTGGATAAGCGGTTAATTCCCCAGATTTAAGCCTTAGTGTAATTTTACATGGCTTTTATATTAGACTTCTAGTTAAGCCATCTTTAGTTGTCATGATTAAGAGGTTTGGGTCATTATCCTGTTTGAGCAGAAACTGGCATTTAAGGGCAGCCTTTTCAGATTAAACCATCCTAGAGCTGTGGGACGAGCTGGGAATTGGCTGTGCAGTTTGAAGATCCATTTCCAGTTGCCTGATCAGCCAATCTTGATCAAAGCCTTGGCAGCTTAAGCTATAGTATAATATTATCTTAATATTATTTAAAATTGGATAACTAATGAAATGTTTATTTTCACCTAAACTCTCAGATATAACTGTCAGATAGGTAGTCACCGGGAAAGACTGTTGACTTGACACAGGGAATACATTCATTCAATTTAATGAAATCAAATGAGATAATGTATGTGAAGCAGTAGCTGAGGGCATAGTATATAGTAAGTGCATAGTAAATAGTAGCTGTAATTGAAGTGCCTGCATTATCATTATTATCTCTTCCCAGCAAAGTGTCTGAACTTAATAGTACCCAACATTGTGAAATGCATATTTATTAAAGAAAAAAATGAATGAAATGTGTGTCTGCCTGCCTCTTCTTTTTTCTCTCTTCCCTCCTTTCCCTCCTCTCCCCTCCCTCCCAATCTTTCCCCTTCCTTCCTTCTCTCTCCCCTCCCCTCCTCTCCTCTCCCCTCCCCTCCCCCTCCTCTCCTCTCCTCCCCACATTAAATGCTTGTCTGCTCTTATAGCTGGGGGAAAAGCTGACATAAAAATTGGCTTGCTGAAAGTTTCTCAGTCCCATTTGTCACCTGACCCTTGGGGCCCAACTGTATGTCAACTCCATGTCCCTTTTGATGCCTGCCAGTGAGGGACAGACCACAGGTCACTTCTCCATGATCTGATTTAGCTGCCAAGGCTCTGATCAAGCTCGGCTGATGGATGGGTGCCCCAGTGTTGGAAATGTCTGTGTGGGGCTGCTCAGGAAATAAGCTTTTGCTCTATTTTCTGGATGGCATCTGGTGCTTGAAAATAAGAAACATGGAAAACAAAGATTTGGGTTTTGCCCTTCTTGAAAACCCAGAGTTCCAAACATCTATTTTGAGTTACCTAGTTGGAGAAATAGCTTTGCGGCTAGGCCTCTCCTTTCCTGGCCTGTGAACCCTGTTGGGGAGCGGCTTGATGAAATCATGCGAGCGGTTTGTACACAGAGTCCAAGATTCTCTTGTTTTTGTCTGTTTGGCAGTTTATTTCCCCTCTCAATTTCTGTTTAACTTCAAAGGGTGATTATTCTCTTCCCTTGATTTGCAGCACTCGAAAGGAGTGAATGAAATGTGCAGCTCGGGGCGTCATTTCTGAAGGGAGGAGTTGTTCTCTTGGAGAGGAGTCCTCCATGAGCCTGGCCGAGGCCCTGGATCTGTGTGCAGTGGACTAAGGATTTAGTAGGATGTCAACTGAGACAGAACTTCAAGTAGCTGTGAAAACCAGCGCCAAGAAAGACAGCAGAAAGAAAGGTAGGTCCGAATGTGTTCCTTTCTTCATGGCTGCTTCTCTGTATAGGACAATGAGTTTTTACCTATGTGATGATACGTCATCTATCTTTGTGATTGCTTATATTTTTAAAAAAGTCACCAGCATTATCAGATGTTTTTTTTGGGGGGGGGTTGTTTTTTTTGCTTTTTGTACTCATAGTATAATATTTTAATGGTTCTCCATTAATCTCTGGGTAAAATCCAAAATTCTTTTTGTAACATATAAAGCCCTTCCTGATATACATTTTATCCATCCCTCCAGCAGCATCTCTGCCTAAGCACACTACACCCCTCCTGCTCCTTTTTAACCCTGTTAACCCTCCATTCTGTCTATGAAGTTCACCCTTGCATAGACCCGTGGTTCTCAAAACTCCAGCTTCCCCAGAATCACCTGGAAGGCTTGTTAAAACACATTGCAAGTCTCATTCCAGTTTTGGATTCCCAAAGTCTAAGATGGGGCCCAAAACTTTGCATTTATAACAAGTTCCCAGATGATGCCAGTGTCTTTGGTTCAGAGACCAGACTTTGAGAGTCACTGGATTCCCATTCATTCAGCCTCAAATGCTTGTGTTGCTCTCCACTTTTTTCTAGATGGACTCCTCTTTGTTGTTCGGGTTTGAGCTTAGCAGTGTCTCCTGGGGTGGTGGTAGCGCTTTCCTTACCCCCTAAATTGGGTTAGTTGCTCATTTATTTTGCTTCAGTGGCACTTCGTTAGCATCTCAATTTATTAAAAATGTCCTGTGTTTTTCTTTGTCAGCTCTACTATATATCCCCTCAGACCTGGACCTGTTGTTCACATTTTCACTCCCAACACTAAGAAAGTGCTGACACAGGGAAGGCACATAGATGTCTGGTAATGAAGACTGGCGTGCATAGTGTAATAACTCTATCCCTTTTCGTGTTTCCTGAAGAATTTGGTCCTATTGCTTTATGACCATGCCTTTCAGTGTTTCCCTGTTGTAATTGGATCCAAGCAACTTCTTGGTGTGTGTGTTTTCTCCCGTGGTTTCAGTTCTTTTCCTCCCCTGTCTTCTCAGCTGCATGGAGGAGGATTAATAGAGCTCTGTTTCAGGTCTTGAAATCTGCCAATACGGGCTTGCAAACCCAGATGCCCTAGGTTGCTTTGTATAGGCAGTGATTTGTTTGAGACTTCACTGTGCCTGCCCTGTCATGTTTTGTGATGGCATTGGTCTGACACTCTCTGGAAACAAGGGACATAAATGTAATACATATGCAGCTTTTGGACAGCCAAAACCCCAGGAAGGACTATAAATTTTGCTTTAGCTGTTTATTTGAAACACAAATATTTTTGAAGCAGTCTATTTTATTCCCTAAAACTTAATGTAAACCTTGTATTTTATGCATTGTGGTCTAAGCATAATAGAAGAAAAGCAAGTAGGTGAGAGAACAGGTTTTGGAAGAACTACATGGAAAAAAAAATTGCAAATCCTGGTATGTACTAGAATTTGAATACATTTTTCAGTGCAAACTAATAAATTATATTTTTTTCTTCAAATTTAACCTCTTCACTACACTTGTGCTCTTGAATGAGGAATGCATTAAAAATTGTATCTTAGTGCACATCTTTTTATTCTTAATTTTAACATGCAAAACCAGAAGTATTCTAAAGAGAGGATTTAGGATTTCAGAACATTGGCTTAGTTGAGGATTTGGAATGGGAGCGTGAAGGTGACCTTTTTATATCCTTCTCATCTTCATAGCCTAACAAGCTCTAAAAGCAGCACAATATATGTGCAAGGAGCATCCTGTAGGTAGTGGCGAATACCATGGAGTCTGGGCAGGTCGATCTCAGTCAAATTCCCGCTATACCATTTCCTAACTATGTGACTTTAGAATATTATTCCACTTCCTGAGCCTCAGTTTTCTCTCCTATGAAATGAGAATATAATATTATAGAGCTCAGAGGCTCATTATGAAGATTAACTGAAATAAGGCAAATAAAACCCTCAGTATAGTACTTGGCATATATTAAAGACTCAACAAAGTTTAGCTTTGTTCCTCCTCTTTCCGTTTTCCCTTCCCCTTCCCCCCATTCTCTCCTTACCTCTTCTCATTTCCTTCCTTTTCTATTATCTTCCTTCTTTTCCCTCTTCTCACTGCTTTTTTCTATTTCTTGTTCCATTTCTACCTCATTCCTCTTCTTTGTCTTCCTTCTCTTCACCACCGTCATCCTCATCTTACATTGTTTTCTCTTATCCCATTGTTGAGCTAAGGGGATCTTAAAAAGTGTATAGCTGATTTGTCCCAGAGCAAGTTCAGAGGTCCTTTAGAATTTCTCACAAACCTCTCACCCTGGTTCTTAACCCAGGCCATTGAAACCAAGTCAGATAATTTTAAATGCAAGTCATGCAGGGACATATTTCACCATAAAATGAGTTGCTAGACAGGTCGCGTATGAAACATAACTACAGTGTTCACAATTTAAATAAGGAAGAGATGAAAGTAGTGAGAAATGAAGTTGTTTTCTTCATTTTGTTTTTATTGGATTGTGTCACTACGCATACAGCTTGTCAAATAGTGCACATTCTAGGAGAAGAGTTTGATGGAGAACTGGAAGAAGAGGAAGTACTTTTTCAGGTTTGTTACCTGCCACCAAAGGGGAGAACAGTTGACACAATTCTTGTTACTTATAATCCCGGCATTAGGCCACCCAGTAGAAGACTGTGTGGTAGAGGAATGGGTCCCATTAGGAGCAGATGCAGACATTGCTTTTCATTTTATTTTAATTTTTTTTATTGTTCAAATACATTTGTCTCCATTTTCCTGCCACCACTTTCCCCTGCCCCACCCACCCACACCCACCTCCCACCCTCAATCCTTCCCCACTTTGGCTTTGTCCATGGGTCCTTCATACATGTTCCTTGATCTGACCCTTCCCCTTCCTTTCCTGGTTACCCCCCTCCCCCCTTCCTTCTCATTACTGTCTGTTTCTTTTTTCTTTCACTGTTGCTGGTTATATTTTCCTTGCTTGTTTGTTTTGTTGATTAGGTTCCACTTATAGGCGAGGTCACATGGTATTTGTCCTTCACCCCTCGGCTTATTTCACTTAGCATAGATGCAGACATTTCTGAGGGCAGTGCCTGGGGGTTTTCAGTCAGCGCCATCAGTATAGCAAAAAGAGCATGGACTTTGGAGCCAGGCAGACCTAATTTTTATTTTTTATTTAATCCTTACCTGAGGACATTTTTTCGTTGTTTTTAGAGTTAGAGGGAGGGAGAAAGGAAGGGAGAGAGAAACATTGACGTGAGAGAACAACATCGATTGATTGCCCTCCAGTACGTGCCCTGACCAGGAATCGTAGGTACCTGGACCAGCAATTGAACCCACAACCGTTTGGTTACCGGAAAACACTCTAACTAGCTGAGCCACATTGGTCAGGGCCAGACCTCGTTTTTAATACTAACTCTTCTTCTCTGCTCTGTAACCAGAGGTTAGTTAACGTCGTTGAGCCTTGTATTTCAGGGTGTGCGTGTGTTCATGCTTGTGTAATACTTGTCATCTGAAGAGCAAGGGTAAAGGGCCAGCCTGCGTTCTACAACATGGCATTGGCTTGGCTAGTCATAGTTTTTCTGCCCTCTTCCTTCTGAAATCACAGCATTGTCTCCTAATTTTCTAGAAATACCTGGAAATAAACTTACTCACATTCTTTATGTTTCTGTTAGAGCTATACCCAAGAATCATGAGTCAACAACACCACCACACTTCCTTACTGTCTCCTGCGAGAAAGATTTGGCTGCAAGAATCAAGGCTCTGATGGGTCCAGGAGAAGCTGGCGGTCACACGGTGGTCGCCTTAGCTTTGGAGCCATATCAAACCAAGTTTGAACCCTGGCTGTATGCTTTAGAAGCTGTGAAACTTTTCAGAGGTTTCTTTCAAAATTTTGGTCAATTTTTGTTAAGGAATGGTTTTAATACTGCCATATTCAGGGTCTTGATCTCTGAACTAGTCAGTTAGCCAGAGAAAATAATCTCTGTTCATGATGGGCTGTCACTTAAGGGTTTATAAAATACTGTTGTGTTCATTATCCCATTGGATCCCTAGAACCCTCAGAGATGATTTTAAAATATGTATATTCTTATCAAGCCCATGGTACAGAGCTGCTGTTTCATCACTTCTATCCGCTGCCCTTGTGCTGCAGGGGAGGCAGCCTGAGGTCAGCCAAGACACTGGACTTGGGCTCATCCCTGAGGCTGGCCACTCTCTTTCTCTCTCTCAAGTCCCTTTCAGTTCTTGTGCTTTAGTTTCCTCAGGCTCTACATGGATATGGAAATTATATTCACTCAGCTAAATGTGAAACATAGAGGAGGCATTACTTACTTACTTACTTAGTTCTTTGGTCCACAAATGGTTATACAGTCCCAGTCAAGAGCACTGGTGGCACTCAGTGTTCTGGGGGAGAGATGCCTGGGAAGGGGACCCTGACTCCAGTCAGTTCTTGTACTTCCACTTCAAGAGACTCTTGGGATTTTTATAGGTCTCATCCTTCACTGAAAATAATTTTTTTCTCTACTTTGCAACTTTCATTAATTCTCAATCTATTACTATTCATAAAATTTGTTTAATTTTTACTCTAAATCTATACTTTAAAAAATTTTTTTTAAAAGATTTTATTTATTTATTTTTAGAGAGAGGAGGGGATGGAGGGTGGGAGAGAGAGAAACATCCATGTGTGGCTGCCTCTCACGTGCCCCCTACTGGGGACCTGGCCTGCAACCCAGACACTGCTCTGACTGGGAATCGAACAAGCGACCCTTTGGTTTGTAAGCTGGCACTCAATCCACTGAGCCTCACCAGCTGGGGCCAAATTTATACTTAGTAATTAAATAGTACTAGTTTCTCATAATAAAGAAAATTCTTATTAAAACCCTTTTCACTGTTTTCCTGACCATAAGCAAGTAGCTTTTCATCTTAATAAATACAAGCAACACAATTGAAAGCCCATATGCATTGAAACATGAATG